GCAAGTCTCTCTCTCTCTCTCTCTCTCTCTCTCTCTCTCTCTCTCGTCTCGTGATTAATTTATGTAGTTTCTTACGGCGCTTAGAGCCCTGGAGCGCGATCAATAAGGAACGAGCAGGTACGATGCAGCCGTGGCAGGTAGCGCAACTTTGTTATATAGCGATTGATCTATACTGTAATAGTCGCGACATTCTCACCGGTCGGCCTTTGTTGCATTTAATTCGTTCGGCGGTGCATCGATGCGTCGCGTGATAATGAGACCAGAGAGGTACGCGCATGCCAAGTCCACCTTTACGTACTCTTCCATGAGTCACTCGCGCGATCGACAAAACGCGCGCGCGTGATAATCGCGCGAAAAAAAAAAAGAGCCGTGAATCATGCTCCGTTAAAAGGCAATCGCGGTAACGCGTAAATCGGTAATACATCGGAAATACCTCGCGCGGGAGGTAAAATGCAAACCGCGCTTGATCCGCTTTTCGCCGAAAACAAAGTGGCGATCCCGGGGTCTAAATCGCGCGGATCCAACTCGCCGTGAACGGCGTTTTGGAATGAGCGATTACGAGCGGCCGCCGACGATGATATGCCGACGCGGACGGAATAATGGCGATTCTCGTGGAAAACGATCGCGCGTAATCAGATAATGAAACGGTTAGCGGAATTACGAATATTCGCGAGCGAAGCGATACTCACACTCATCGGGTACGGGCTATGTTTCCACTGGCTGGCGAATCGAATAAAATACGTTTAACGGCCTTTTAGCCGATAATAGTGATATCCATCCGCCGCTAAACTTAACTGAAAGAAGAAAAGCTCGTATTACGATAATTGAAGAAGATAAAATTACGATGTATTTATATTACACGTGAGATTAAAGCTACTACGATCTTCAGCAATTTTATGCTTACAGTGCCGAAGTTCCGAAAATTTTCTCACAATTCAATTAACGCTTCATCAACTGTGCATTAATTACGAGATCGTCGTGGTTGCACATAAACAAGGTTTTTTTGCAAAAGCAAAATTATATTATCAAATCAAGAAAAAAATATTAGAATAAGATTAGTGCATATTTTTTCTGAACTGGAATAAGAAAGGAACAAAGCTGGAACCGTCGCATGTCGGTTAAAGATTAAAATAGGTACATCGTTATTGATCTTTATACATTTCTCTCTTTCTCGCATAGCCTACTTTCTTAAAATATTCTTTACGCCGCTTTCATATAAGTAGTTGATTCGCGATACGAATGGAGATCCTTGTCGAGCGTTCCGCCGCGAAAAATTTCCAAAGCTACCGAAAATTTCGGCATAGATAGCGACTTCCGGAGCTCATAAAAAATTCTCTCCCACAAACGCCGTCGACGTCGGTACGAAGGAGTTACGGAGATGCCACGAAGTCGTCGTCATTGTCGTCGTCGTCGTCGTTGTCGTCGTCGTCGTCGTTGTCGTCGTCGTCGTCGTCGTCGTGCTCGTCGTCGTGCTCGTCGTCACTGTCGCTACCGGGTGTCTCGCTCTTATTTGCATCTCAATCGCAGCCTAACGTCTCCCTTGGCAACGGCTATGAATTTTATTCCGGTCTCATATTTCTGGTCCCCATTGTGGTGTGCGAGGCGCGCCGCGCGCTCTTTGCTATCAATCATCCCCGTCGCTGCCGTTACTCGCCACCTCGGGGCTGTATTCCGAACTTTTGCACCATCCCCAGAAGTGAAGGAGAGGTCGACGAGTCTTCGACGACTCCTCTCTTGCGCGAATTTCACTCCTCCTCGCTCTCTCCTTTCCCCCTCCATCCTTTCTTCCTCCTTCGGTTCTCACCCCCGTCGCAAACAAGAATTCCGCAAACGCCCCCGGGGTCCGTGAAATACGTGAGGGATGCGCGTCTAGACGGGCCGAGGATCTTTTCCTGAGAAATTGCAGAGTGCAGCGATTCCTCCTCTTTATCTCGGGAATATCTCGGTTAAACATCGCGACCAAAAGAATCTCGGATGGACGAAACATACCCCGCGACATTCCTCGCATTTTCAATTTCCGTCCGACGTATCGCCGTATCCGTACGGGCTTCATGGCCCATTGTTGATCATTTCTCTTACGGATGTTGGCGAGTATTAAGTAAAGTCTAAAACGGAATCTCTCCCCGGGATTCGACCGGACGGGAAAGTCCCTCGGGAAATTTCTTGTGTTGTGAAAAGCGCATTGTTTATTTGCTGATATCTCAAGTCGAGTCATTTTCACGCCGCACGTTTGCACTTAAATAAAAATCGATAATTTTGATTGTTACGTAAGTAGCAGTGACAAAACCGTACCAGCGTGACCATCAGGTGGTTCATACATTGGCCTTTAATCATGGTCCTTTCGTCACAAAGGCTCGGGCTTGAGCGATAACGGTCGATATATTCGATATTATCAGGTAAATTTGGTGGAAGCCCCTACGGTGCTGGAACTCATAATGCTCGTCAACGGGTTAAAGAAATGGAAGATACGCGAAATACCATCATATTCTCCCTTCAATAAAAATATCCTATCAGCGTCTTCGTAACCACGGCGTATTTTCTCGTCGCGACAATATCTTGTGAAAACGCGGAAGGCAAGGCGATGAAGCCCTGTTCTCTCTTGCGCCCCCTTTCAACCCCTTTATCATAAAAGAGATGTATGTACACCGCTTTAGAATCGCAAAACTATCGCATGACGCATCGATCACATTTCACTTTTGATTTTCAGGCCAAATATATCGAGATGTTGCAAATTTCGTTAATTTAAGAAATTATTTTGTTAAATTAATATCCGATTTAGAAATCTTTTCTTGTCCGATCAATTTTCATCTAGTCTGTGTCAATCTATTTTTGCAGATAGAGGAATGAACTCTATCGCTATTCTACACGTTTCAACAAGAAATAGAATTCCAATTGTGTGTATATATATATATATATATATATATATATTTCGATAAAATTTTTATTTAATTGCTATATGCTTAATTATCATTCTTTCTACTAGATAATAATTAATGTTAATTATTAATAGCAACGAATATCGATTTCTAAATCTGATGGGACCACAAGAACAACAAAGACAATAGCGAAACTTCATTAATTATTGAGGTTATTAATTTATATTAATTCAATATCTATTATCTATTTATATAAATTATAGAATTATCTGTATTTGATACATAAAACATTAAAACATTAATGTAATGTCTTGTGTAACATTGGTAAGGCAGTAGAAGGTAATATTTATATTTTTCCAAATATTTTAAAGAATTTCGATTATATTTGAATATAATTGGTGAATGTGTGCATTTTAGTGTACCTCTCACACATTTGAATACCATTATCATTCCAATTTCTACCAACTCATATTCATTACAAAGCATATTCATTACCTGGTTATAAAATATTAAGTATTCCAAGCAATTATCTCTACGAGAGACTTTATATCTCATAGTAAATGAGTTGGCTGTTTTTAAAGTTACGTAATCTACTGAACTTATTATTTTTATTAAGCAGTTTATTTTCAAAGTCTGATATAATAATTTTATTTTTCTTTGGCGGATATTTTTAAGAAAAAAAAATAGCTTTTCCTATATTTTAAAAGTATTTTAATATTTTACTAGACTTCCTACTTATAAAGAATTATTTCAAAATTCAAAGAATTCATTATTGAAGGCATGATAGGCATGATGTTCTTTGTGAAGCGCCGGAGCACTATTAAATAAAATCCGAGCATTATTATCTGTTATCGATCGATACTACAGAAATTTAAAAATATGCATGTGAGAGAGGAGCTATAATACGAGATAGCTATCGATATCGTGATGAAAAGCACGGTGCATTATATTTAATCACATATTTGAATGGTAAAATCGTATCTCTTACATTTTTTCACTTTAACATTTAAATAGCCTATAATATTGAAAAGCGTGCCCAAAAATCAATTTTGAAGCGAAGGAAAGCGTATTCGCAATGACGGATACCTTTTCACAATGCCCGATGTCAATTACATCGCGTCGCGACGTTATGAGATCTGCGACGTCGATGTCAATACCATAAAGATATAAAAATATGACACCGTAAAAGACCTCCTAATGCGATATCGGTTATCAGTTCGCGGAATATCGCGCAGTTCCGAAGATTTACTCACACCTGTCGGTGAAACCAGCCGCCACGATCGATATATAACTCGTTCGTAGAATTCTCTATGGGTTCGCGCGAACGGGATTTCAAAGTCTGGCTTAGAAGCGCGAGTCGCACGAACGTGCACATCCGACTGATTATTATGCGGTCGGCGATATTCCGTCGACTTGTTTTCTGGTTGCCACTTGGATATATATATATACACATATATATATATATATATATATATATACATCGCGAAATTATACCGGCTTGCCCTTCTCGTATACTGCGGTAAGCCTACGGTACGACGTTACAACACGCTCAGCGCCCGACGGATCGATACTTTTACAATTACCCACGCTAATTGCAGACTCAAGACGCGAGTAAAAGTCGGAGTAAAAGTCACATTTACGTACTTAAACGAGTACACGTGAGTCCTTTATCGTGACCTCTTATTTTTCTTATTTTTTTTTTTTTTGGTTTATACATAATAATAGTCGTTTTGTTTATGAAAAAAATTGTCGTTTGTACAGTTGTTTCAACAGTATTATTGGGAAATTATTTCAAGCTAACGACAAGTAATTCGACGATAGTTACATCAGCGAAGCGTCAGGCACGAAATTCGGGCTACCATTATCAAAGCTCGCTTATCGTGGCGCTCATGAGGCCTACGGGGCGTTGTAAAATCGATATCGTTCTGAGAAAGGCCGGCGTGTTGCGTCATATAATCGATATAATCTGGCCACGAGAGCAAAGCGACGGAGAGGAGAGAGGGGGGGGGGGGTGATGTCAAAAGCATCCGAGTACACGTCGGGCGCCGCGGATTACAGCAGATTCAATAAGATTCTCGATTTCTCTGAAGCGCGCGCGTTTGCCTCGAGATCACGAAAGGGCCAACTATCGGGCCGGATCCCGAGGAAGGACTGGAAAAGATGGGACAAAATGCGCACGATAGATGTCGAGGAGACGTCACGTAGCGACGGGCTCTTCTTCGATTTCGAGATCCTTCCTACAAGCAATGCTCTTTTTCTAGGTAATACGACGACGTCGCACGACTCTAAACTCGGACGCACTCTTTTGCAGAGAGTGCACTCTGATGAAAGGCGAATGAGCGCTGGTCAATGAAGGATTCGAGAAATCCCGACGTACGCGTTACGATGCGGTCACGATGCGTTTTTGCGAAAACGCGCGATCGAAGGTTTGCACAAGTTGCAGCGACCAAACCGCGATATTTGAACGCGGTCGTCGAAATAATGGTGAAAGCGCGCTTGATTACGCGCGACAAGGGTAAAGCAAATTTGTCGTTTCGGCTCGTTTTTCGAAATTCCCAGGCCACAATGTGCAACCGCATTTTCGATGAAACCCACGGTGTGAAAAATGCGTTTGCTCCCGGTAAATACGCGATGCGCGGGAATTAGTCGCGTGATATTTTCGAGCGCGTCGCGCCGTTTAGAATTGGTCCCAGCTGCGCGAGAAATTAACGCCGTTACATCGACGGTTAATTATGATTATCAATTATTTATCGACGAAATGACGATCGGGCAAATTTGCGTACGAAATTTACGCAAAAATCAAATTCAAATCAATTCGTAGCATCACGCGCGATTTGCTATGCGCATTACGTTACCGGCGAAATTATGCCGTCAATTAATTAATATTTGATGTCTAACCCAATTAGATGAAATGCGGTTTCATTAGGACACTATTCACGGTTAAATGTTATATAATGCCGAACCGGAAAATTAAATAATACGATTTACTAATCGAATGATATTCGCAGTATCGCTATCGCGTCTACACGGAAAACGTGAGCAGCTTTTCGCTGCTTTCTACGCAAAAAGCACAAATGTAAAGCGTCAGTTATGCGGTTTGCGCGGGCTAAATGTGCTGGTTGCCGCTATTTTAAGGCTACGTAACAACGTGCGCACGTGAAACACATACGCGTAATGCAGCCATGAAGCTAAAACAGGAAAGACTATTTCAATGTATTTGCAAAATCTCCGTATTCGGATGAAACCTATGTACTCACTAATTGCAAAGAACTATGATACGTAATGACTTAACGAATGATTTAACATGATAAAGAAACACTTGCTGTTGAAATGGTGTAAATGGCATGTTGCTCATTTTCGCGAAATCTTTCTTCAACGTCTAATTACTTTTGCCAAAATCTTATATCAATTGGAGTTTTGCTAGAAATAAAAAAAAGTAATTATAAAAAGGACATTTTTGTCATGGAAAATTGCTTTATTGAAATATTTACGTTTTCTGAAAATAGCCATATAAAATATTTATTCTGCGTAGAGATTGTAGGACATAAAATTATAATTCTTTTATATTATATTTGTACGTTTTATTACACTAGGAAAAAAATAACGACCTTTTTTATAATTTTTTAGATAAATACTGAGGTAAGATTTAATAGTTTTTACTATTAAATCGTTTTATTAATATCTTATTAATATCTTCGTTAACATATATCTTTATTAATCTTTGTTAACGTATATACTAACTAATGCTAATGCTAATATATTTCAGGAAAGAATTCGAAAATTGCGAGATCTAATGTAAGAATCGCGTAATACTTTTGCAAACAATGTATTATGTGAAAAATTAATGGAAGAATTTTCTATTCGATCTAATTAACCTAATTACTTAAGCGAACTGAACATTCCACTGATTAGTATTTCTATACCATGCTCGCTCTCTCTCTCTCTC